AACATTTATATTATGTTAAAAATAATAAGCTACTAATAACAAATTAAAACAAATTCAATTGAAATTAATTACAAATTTACTTTTTAATTATAAATAATAATTACCAGAATTAAATATTTCTAGATAATAATGTTTGAAATCAGGTACAAAAAGCATCAAGTACAAAAAGCAACCATAAACTTTATTTATAAAGACATGTTTATTATAAATATAAGATATTTTGTTATAACTTGAATTTAGATATTTTATTATTAGATTCAACAAAAGATACAAATAAAAAATAAATACAAACTTACGATTGCATAAAGTTTCAATAGTTTCCCAGTCACTATATATCAATTCATTTTCAACGCGTAAATGGCAACTAATTTGATAAATACTACCAGGTTGTAAATTTTCAAAAAATCCTATTAATTGTGTCATATTTCGAAATACTCTATTCCATGAATGCGGAACATTATATTGCATATGTCCCTGTAAAAATTTATTACAAAGTTACTGTTTTTTTATTCGATGATAAAAAATGATAAAAAATGCTATTTGAAATTATGTTAATCGCAACTCAAAGAATAATTTTTATAACTTTAAAGAATATTAGAACAAATAATATTAATGTATATGTATGTATGTACTTTAATGTCAAAACCATAAAATATTGATATATTATCGTATTCATCTTTCCATATCATAGGAACAATGACACTAATAGTTGTTTCGTTTGTAGAGGTTATCACAGGTATGCTCGGTTTATCTATACCTGTAAAATAATTAATATAGTTGCATTTAATTTATAACTGATATTTCTTTAAATATGATAAAACATAACATATACAACATATAACAAAATATTACTTATTTGACACATGGGAGGTATGTAAGTTTTTTTATAATTGTTGCATCCCTCACTGCATACTCCAGTTATCTTATTACACGATCCATTGCACAAACCGCACATCTTTTTACAGCCATGACCATATGTATTTGATGTACAAGCTAAAAATACAATTTATTACATGTAGAAGTAGTGTAAAAATA